TCAACCAGTACGGAAATACCGTACATCGAGGGAGCAACAGCACGTAAATTCTCCAAAATTTTCACAGAATTCTATTTGCAAGTAATTCAGCAGCGTGTAAGAGTTCTAGAATAAGAAAGCTACAACACAACAAGTTATATATGATAGCCTGAAGTTATAGAAGTGTTATCCTCAGACTCAGTTTTACCGCTTTTCCCTACCCTCTCATCGTAACAGTCACTCTCATAAATGACAGAAGGCCCTGAAATTAGCTCAAGCAATAGAGCTGACACTGCTTCTGTTTAGTAATAAATTTAAGTACCATTTTAAAAATATGAGTCCAGTGAGTGTAGAACTTAAAACATGTGCTAGAAATTCCATTTAGATAACCCAGTCTAATAAATAATGTAGATAATCCAGATAAATCTAAAAAGCTAGATAAAAAAATTTATCCCTCAGCTGTAAACACACACAGAACAATGGCGAATGGGATCCATTAGTATGGCTTACTACCAGCTACGTAGGAAAAAAACAAAGTTAAAAACGATTCAGATTCTGTACACGCTCGACAAGATAGCAATCTGTTTATTATCAGGACAAATCAACTGAGAGTAACTGAGGAAGAAAATCTTCCTCTTTGATTAATTTTGAAACCATGGTTTTAACATTTGGGGATGGCACTGCAGTCCACAAGCCATTTACTCCAAATTAATATTTCTCAAAAAGTGATTCTTTTCCAGATTGTTATATGCATGATGTCGGTAAGCCGGTGTTTCATGCACATTCGAATACGTATTTTGGAGCTTGGATGCGTGATGCTTATCCACGCACTGGACAGGTACAACGTTCCTTTCCGCGTGTAATCCAAGCAGTTGACTTTACGATTAACCTAAAACGATTTACGATTTACTTCGATAATTCTCAGTGCTTATTAACGAATTTAGTGGAAGGGATTTTTAACGACCACTTCCATTCTCAGTGAGCGGTTGCTGAAATCGTCCTTCCTAAAAAAAATTTAGGATCCAACTGGAAGAAAATAAGCCCTAACTCGAAGTTTCTCAGATTCGACATGCGTCAAGTTAAAGCGTTGAAAAATAAGTTGTGTAAGTTTGCATTCTAGGGTACCAGCGATCCCAAGATCCAGATAATCGGTGCGGGGATTCCAAGTCAGTGATATTAGTAGAATGATCTTACACGCTGGGTACAGCTGTGCCTGACCTCTCGATCCTGAACTGCATACCTTCAGTAGCTAGCTAGATTTAAAACAGATTTTTCACATTAGAATCAAAAGTTGGAATCAAAAGCTTCGTAAGAAAGCAAATTAATACGAATTACGAAACAGTTTTAACTTTTAGAAGCTCCTTTGTCGGAAGCGAAGTACTGTACTGTGCTGGAGTTCATTTTTAGAGAGATTAAAAAATCTTATAGCACTGAAAAATTTTTGAAGGATATGATGAAACGCTGGATGACCAAGCACTTTCAAGGCGATGCAGTTGAGGAGTATTTGGATGAGGGTGATATGCGACGGCAGCGTATTTTCGTAACGTTAGTTCTTAATTAAGAAAAAGAAAAAACAATGTTTGTGGTTATTTTCTAAAGGAAGGATGGCTAAAATCAGGTAGAAAAAAAAGAAATATATTATTATCGTCTGGATGAATAACTGACCGTGGTCTTCCTTAACTCATCCACTATTAGAAGCGTTCAGTATCAAAAGCCAACGGCTCTCGAGATTGGAGATTTTATGCAAATAAGTATGAGCCGAGAAGGGGCAGAACACCTAACCATCACAACCGGATGTGATTTGCAAACCACTGCGCCACCGGCCCATTGATCACTAAACAGACTTTCCAATATGTGCTAACTTTTCGCAGGACTTTCGCAACAACAGCGAAGGCCCCCTTCTATGAGGGTTACTCACGCAATTTACGAGAAATGCGATCTATCTCAGCAAAGATTTATCCTTGTCGTTCAGAAAATCTTGATGGTGAAGAGTTCGAGTGCTTAAAAAGTAAGCAGCAAAATTTCACTATGACGTTTGTTATTATTTCTTCGTTTGTTCGTCATAGTGTGAGCAGAAATTACTCGAAGCAGGACGGATTCTTTTTAAGACATCATTTGCCGCATCTGTACGATGGCACAAATTTGGTCTTTTTCAACGGTTCATTGTATTTCCATCGAGCTGGCACACCAAAAATTGGCAAATATGAGCTATTTTCCAAACGATACAATGAAGTGCTGATTGATGAACATGCTGCACACAAGGGAACTGATGTGAGTTGATTTCAGTAGCATAATACTTTGGAAAAGTAATTTTTGATGGCTGAGAAGGAAGAAGAGCTAAAAAGAGGTGTGGTGGATAGGCCGGAGAGATAGGTGCGTGCGGATAAGGAAACGGGCCTGAAAATTAACTCACTGAAGACAAAGCAATGCGAAATATCAGTGCTTGAGTTAAAATTGCAGATAGATGATGCTGACTTGAAAGAAGTTGACAGCTTTGTGTCTCTGCCAGGAAATAAGTACACCCTCACAAACTCCAACTGGAAATTACGCATGAAAGACTACTGACAGGCGCAAGTTTTGCGGAGTCGTTGACCTGAGCCAAGAGCACCGTGCCTATTTCCTCAGTACTTTAGAAAATATGTATATACCAGTTTGTTAACAGGAAAAACCCGTTGGCAAAGCTTCGCGGTTTAGTTTCACGGTTTAACATGAAAACCCCTGCGGTTTCGCTTGAAAACAGGCTG